GCTGTTTGTGATATGCAAAGAATAGAGCACGTTGTCTTTATGTGATTGCTATCCAGATAGGACAGTGCTGGGGAGGCCTCCCTTCACCACCAGTGGATGTCAGCTTCCTTTGCTATGTGCAGCCCACCGTGCTCCGTTTCAGATCCTGCTCCTTAGCATTCAGTCAATATCCACTCTTTAAGCTCAGCTATTATTTCTAAGAGGTCAGGTATTTAGTTGGTTTTGTTCTCACCCAATCTCCACTGCTGGGAGACAGTAGATCCTAGATACATACACAGCATGCGTGATGAAACGAATGATTCAACTATACATAATTTGACAGAATTCCCACATAGAAGTATTTAGTTACAAATTGCACCATCAAGAAGAATGACTGATGGCAAGGGACCATTTTATCCTAAGGTTGAAGGTACAAGAGAGTGAGATTTCTGCAGGGTAAGAAACAGGCAGCCAAAACAACCAAGGTCACTCCCGGGGCCAAACTATGATAAGCTACGGCAGATGAACAAGCAACAGAAATGAAGTGAGTATATAAGGACTTGAGAGAAGATGCAGGTTGAAAACGTGCCTGTGGCTCAAGAAGGGGACAACTTTCTGCTAAAGCGTGGTGTGTGTAGAGCAAGAATTTAAGCTGCCTAGCACTTGGGCAACTATCGATAGTTAGTAACCTCAAGCAGAGTCAGTGATACGGAATGGTTGGAGACAGCAAGCTCCCACAGGTTTAACACTGAGATAACTGACAGCATGTAAGACACAGAGAGAAAAGCATCAAAGAGATAAAAAATACAAAAGAACTTGCATGCTTTGGGTGAGAAAAAGTGCAGGGCCTTGCAAGGAATAAGCATGCAGTGAGTATTTTTCTCACATAGTCATTTTTATGTCCCATTTTTATGATGGGATATGTATGTTAATAAGGAGAGAAGTTCTTATGCAATAGTAGATATTTCTAAATAAACTGAAAAATCTGGAGCTTTAACAATGTCTGTTGTGACTTGAGGAGTCCTCCTGGCCAGAGTCTCTTAATCTTGCTCCTTTGTGCTAGAGCAGGTCTATGAGAAGCTTCCCCGGAGACACAAGTTGTTAAGCCACAACCACTGAAAATACTCCTGAGATGGGTGGGACTGGCTGTTCAACTTGGTATCTCAGTACTGTGTCTAAGAAGAAAGACCACTTCATGCAAGGGACCAGAAAGGGGAAATTATCCATGCCACACAAAATTCAAGACTATTCACTGATCTGAATAAATTGCCTGGGCATGCATGTTACAATGGTAGTTTAATATATAGATATGATACTTCTGTGTGACATATGACCATAAGTATTTTATGTGCTTCAATTCATTGAATCTCATAATAATCCTACCAAATTACAATAATAATCCTATCATATTTCAAATGGAGGTCACACAGGAGTATACCCCACAGACTGTGGCTTAACCTATAGTCTTATCTAATACACTACACTGCCATTTATAAATTTAAACTCATTTAAATAACTTTATGAAAGACATGGCATCTTGGGGTTTCCTTATGAGTTGGTTTACTGTTATGTGCTAAAACATAGTACGAAAATTGCTACAAGTTGGTTGAAACATATTAAATAATGGAGTCCTTTGTACTTTTTACTCAAAGAATAGTTGAGATCTAAAAGGGATTCAGGGCTGTAATAGCCAAAGCCCAATATAAAGGAATGATCAGAAAACAAGAGGAAAAGGAGTTAAAACCACATCATCTTGACTGGCTGCATACAAGAAATCACAATTTGAAGCTAAATGCAAACCTCCCAGTGATGCTTAAGATGCATTAGAGTTGATTTGCACTCTTCACAGATGTTGTATTTGCCAATTTACCTATATGTTAAAATTCATCTGCAATTCTGAAGTCAGTATCCACAGAGCTAAAAACAGCTGAGTTGTCTGAGATTTATATGCCCAGCTAAGGTCAGAGGGAGCCAGGCTCTGCCTTCTCATTCCAGCTCACATGCTGTGAACAAGTATCATTATTAGCTTTTTGTGGAATATGTGATCACATTTCTTCTTCCTCCTCCCCCTCCTCTTCCTCTTCTTCTTGATCTTCCCCTTCTTCTTCCTCTTCCTCCTCTTCCTATTCTTATTCTTCTTCTCTTCTTTGTTGCATGGCTCAGCGTCTTCTAGCCAGTGCTCCTGAGTGGAAGAGGCTGTGGTGCAGCTTCTGAAGAAAGTGTGTGTGAAATAAACTCTGCCAGATCTGACTTGATAGTGCAGGCAGACATCAGTTCAATGTGGATGCATCCATTGGATTCAATCAGATGTCTTTAAACCAAACATGAACCAAACAAGGTTATCTACTGATCAGTTGGTGAAATTATGGTAACCAAAGCCAGGAACCCGACCTAGTTATTTCCATTAAGGATGACAAGTCAGTGTTCAGTAACTCAGTACTCAACATGACCTTTTAGAACACAGCACAAATAACAAGAACCAACCAAATCTGGGGTTTTTGTCCTTGAGGAGTACTACAGAGAAATACCATGCAGATGGTAAACAGGTAGCACTGCTAGCTGTACATGACTAGGACAAACACGATCTGAAGTGTGACAGCATCTCTTCCTACAAGAATGAATCCTCTCCATGCACTGAATTCGGCTGGACGTGTAAAGTTGTGTGCAGAGGCGCTGGGACAGAGCCTGTGGCCCAGTCGGAGGCCTTCACCGTGGCCTGTGTGGTTTGACCATAGTGACTCATGTGATACAGGAGAAGGTAAATGAGGCAAATATTATTATTATAAACCACATTTTGTAATTCTAACCCCGCATCCACCAAGGACATTATTTGAATATCAAGATGAATTTTAAGACTAACATAAAATATTTTCAAGGTAAATTATTAAGGCCTCCTTTACAAACTCGAAAAGTGTTCAGGGATCTCTAATAACCTGTTTTTAATAAAGTTTAAAATATAAAATTAAATGAATACAAGACTTCTTAGAGTCAGCTGTTAAAATGTAAGAAAACCAGACCAAGGAACAGTCTAGCTGATATACAAGAATCATGTTTTCCACAGGAATGAAGTTCTGGGTTACCAGGGCAGTAACTTCACCGACTGCATGATTTTCATCAGCTGTCTTCGCTTTCCCACCAGACCTTCCAGCTCATCTATCAGCATTTCCTTCTCCTTTCAAATAAATGACAACTGGGTCCTGTGTCAGAATCTAATTTTCTAAAGCATTTCCCTACCAAGAGATCTAACACCTCCAGCAGTTCCATCTTTCACTGTAAATCCAGTGAGTGAGTTCTGATTTTATGCACCGTTATTTTCCTACTTTGTTTCATGGAAGTCCATTCTCTTAGGGACACGGGCAATTATGTATAGATGGGCAACATGGGGAATACGTGACCTTATCTTACAGGGAGAGAGACTTGTTTGCACTGTCATTTTCTCCCCAAAATTGGAGATAAAGAAAGATTCATGGAGGGAAGTATGTACAATTTAACCTGAAACTGGTTCCTCCAGAATCAACACATTCAACCAAGTGACCAAACATGATGGGCAAGGAAGCCTATTACAGTACACTCAAGAAGCAAGCCTGGCCTCATAGACACTGTTATGGGAAAATTACATGAATACATATCATGGCCTTAACAACAACAACAAAACTGCAGTCTACTTAGCTATTTCTAGTAGCAAAGACCAATGCAGGGAGGATCTATCCCAGAAATAAGACCGACATAATTTGAAGAGATTGATGTCACTCTGGGGAAAACTTGTGGCACATGGAGGTATCTGTGAACAAAAGGTCTGAGCTCAAGTTCTGGGTCAGCTCTATTTTAGTTATAGCGTTAGGTCCTTTAACCACACTCAATTTTTCACCTGTGAGATAAAGCGAAAGGAAACAAAGTTCTATGAGGGCTGGCTCGATGGTACCAGCTAATGAACCACCAGCAGCAACACCTGTTTAAAATGTCTTTCTCCCATGGCTCACAGGAAGAAAGAAAATATTTTTGGTCAAATTGCAAGTGTTTTATAGCTGCAGAGACAGAGAGAGATAGAGATAGAGAGAGAGAGAGAGAGAGAGAGAGAGAGAGAGAGAGAGAGACAGAGAGACAGACAGAGACAGAGACAGTGACAGAGACAGAGACAGAGAGACAGATAGAGATAGAGAGACAGAGACAGACAGTGTTAATTTTTAAGACAGGTAGGAAAGCAGGTACATAGATAATTGAGATGTCAGATCCCAGAGATGGATGACTCCACTACTTTCCGTGAGTAGGTCAGACATTTTTCCCCATTAATGTAATGGTCCTTGCACTGTCACAATTATCTTGGGGGAAGAATTATAGTCCTTAACGTGGTTCTATGTCCAGTTCACTTCAATAATAATGAAAACCTGGAAGGAGTTGCCATTCAAGTATGTCCGCCTCAGCACTATAAAGTGTTTCAAAAACTGAAATAGTACATTCATCACGCTGATCTTCTATCCTCTGCTGACGCTCTGGTCACCCTTCTGCTTCTTGGACATTTATTTTTGCTGCCACTTTGATACACCCTCCATCTGCCCCATTCTGTCTGGATTGTTGATTACTTTCAGTAACCTCCTGTGCGGGTCTAGAACCATGGAAATGGTGAGTGTGTTTGTTGTGATTTCACAGTTAAATTTAGAGTACAGTATTCCTGGTCCTTTCATGCCTGGGAGTGATACTTTCTCCAGCAATGTTTATGAGCAAAGTAATAAAATCACAGTCAAGTGTTCACTTGCAGTGAAGCCTTTTACTCCCATAAAGGATCACAGCACTAGGTACTTAGACTCAATGATCTTTACTAAATGCACGCTATGCACTTTCGCTATGCCTAAATCAAGATTTGGAAGAAACAAAGATCGTAACAAACCTAATAGTACACTGCATTTAGGTCTAATGGTATATTGATTTTTGTTGGTCTTTTTAAAAAAGCAACTGCAAAAGGGCTAAACAGAGTAAAGAAGGCAAAGGAATGAAACCATAGGCAGGCAGAGAAGAGCTCCCACCTCCACACACCACACCGTCGAGGTCCTCACAGCGGCGATTGTCACACTCGCAGGTCTTGCCATAGACCCTGTGGTCCCCGGGCGGGTAGCAGGTGCACTTACCACACTCACATTTGCCTGGAGAGGGTCAAGAGAAAGCACACGGTTAGGAAAATCACAGGCGCCGAATGGGATTCAGAAAACAAGCATAGAATTAAACTGAATCTCCCAACCAGTCTGGGCTGTGCTCCGTAATTGGTCAGCAAATATTTTTTCTAATCTGTCCGCATGATAGTCAGCATGATAGTGGCCAGCTCAGTGGCATCCACAGGGCCTTTGTTTCACTCAACTGTGAAAGATGCCACTGTGAGACTCTCATATTCAATTTAACTTGATGGTATTACTCGGTTTATACATTTTGGCATAATTTTTATATAATGTCCTTTTTGGGGGGTTGATCTGCCAGATGCAAAATATTTATAGGTACATTCAAGGTGTGATTTGAGTGATCATCTGTAGTAATTTTATAGTTTGAATTCGCTTTAATGTCGAACACATGGCAAAGCATATAAGCCCCCCCCCAACCTTACAATTTTCAGCTTAAAATCTAAATCTATCCTTTTCAGATTTTGTTGGGATGAATTTGGTTCACAGTTAGCAGTCCCTTAACTAGTAACAGTATGTGGTTTTCATTATTTTCTCTTGAGCTGTAACAACATATCCAACACTGTAATTCTCACATTACATCATTTTGTTTTCCTTAACTTACTAACAGGATTACCATCATTTTACTACACAGGAAACAGACATACTGAGGTGAAGTCACTGCTCATACAGAACAGCTAGTAAGGAAAAGAATCAAACTGCACCCACATCTCATCTCTATGCACTCACAAGCTGCATGGGGACCCTGCGTGAGAAAAGGAGGTTCCTTTTGTCTGAGGAACTGTCCTGGCTTGCCAGAAATTCAGCTGGGTGCCAGTGCTCCCAGACTCCCCTCGCCTTCACTAGCCCAAGGATCACAATCACACAGACACTGAAGTGGTCCTAGCATGCTTCCGGCTACTGCTCCTCACCCTGCTGCTGACTTGTATCTTTTAAAGAAATACTCGGTTGGTAGATGAAGGGGGAAAGCAAAATTAGTATCTGGAATCATGTAATTTCAGAGCTGTCATTAGAGGTAATCTAATGCAGTGATTCACGGCCTAGGTGGCAGGGCAGTGTCCCGGTGAGAATCTGATGGAGGATGAGGCACTGGACCAGCTGGCCCTGGCTTCCCCTCCGTGAACTGCTTTCAGCTTGAGGTACAGTATTTTAAAGTCCAATAGGAGGAAGGCGCTGCTCCCCCAAGGGAACTTACTTCTTCCTCCCCCTGGGTTGGCCCAAACTGGACAGAGCAACAGTCTTGACCAGAGACCTGATTGCTGAGGGTGAAAGCAAAGGGAGGGGCTGTGTAGACAGGCCAGCACTGCTAACAGGGAGCAGTGAGCACAGGAATGTGGCAGTCCTCCGCTTCCCATGGCTACTGCACGGCCGCTCACCCTGCTTGCCCTGTGGACCTGATCCGCCCATCAGCATCCTGTTCATCCCAGCTAACCCACAGCCTAGCACCTTAGCTGCGGGCAGGTAGAGTAAAGAGTTTAGAGACATTTGCCACAAGCTACATCTCGGTTAGTCAGGAGGACTGAGTTCAAGAAATCGATCATACAGCAAGTAAGTGTAGTTAATAATGATTATTAACTTTGAAAACTGCTAAAAGAATAGGTCTTAAGTGGTCCTATCACAAAATATTAAGTATGTGAGGTAACACCTATGTTAATTAGGTTTGCATAGCTGTTCCATAATTACCCATATTTCAAATAATACACTTTATTAAATAAACACATACAAGTTTTTGCCAATTTAAATAACTTTTAGCAAAAATCTCTAAATGGTAGAATTTAGATCTATTTCAGAAAAAGTACATTAGTTCTGTCTCTCTTCCTTTTTTCTTCCTTCCTTCCTTGCTTCCTTCCTTCCTTCCTTCCTTCTACACTCCCTCTGTCCCTCTCTTCCTCACTTTCTTTGTAAAACTTCAGGAGAATCCCTTACTTCTTCCCTCTATTTATGTAATATTATGTAAAATGTGAAGAAACTCAAGCATGCTGGAGCTAAACAATTCACCTAAGGTCACCTAGCTAGATACTCCTGGTGTTATAGCCAGGATTTCTCAATGTACAAATGCTCTAACTATCATTATGGGTGAAGGCCTGAATGTATCCAATAATGCTGACTGCAGAGCAAAACAGACCACCTTTGAGACCTAGGCAGTGTGGTAGTTTACTGTTCCTCAGGGCAGCTGTGGGAAACCCACTGTTACCAATCACACTGCTCCTAAGGTACAACGCATTCTTAATCACAAACAGAGTCAGTGTTTACATTTCAAGTCCAATCACTGATGACACATCTGTTTACATGTTAAGGCACAGAGCAATTTTCTTGAATATGTATATTAGCTCATCTGACACTTTGGAGGGTGTCTTAGTTACTTTTTACTCATTGCTGAGACAAAATAGCTGAAGCCCAAAGTTAGGAAAGGAAAGGTTTATTTCTTACAGTTCTTGAAAGTTTCAGTTCACACTCAGTTGGCTCCAAGGTCGCATGACATGACAGGGCAGCAATTCATGGCTGCTGCAAACAGCAAGCACAAACTGGCCATAGAAAGCCACACAACTTCTTCCTGCTTTTACATCAAATCCTGGCCCCACCCCTGGTCGGGTGTAGCAGTCACACCACCAGTCCAAGCACTAGACAATGAACCAATCACAAATCCATAATTGCATGAGGTTTAGGGGCCAGTGACGTAAACCATGAGAGAAGGGATACACTGAACATTGGCGTAAGTGTCAAGGTATCAACATTTTACTATTGTCATTGTTGATATTTCTTTCTTACCTTTCTTGTATAAAGTTAGAGAGTGTTAATATTCTGTCCAAGGAACTTGTATTTCCTAGTGAATTGTAGTTCACATATCTTTTTCAAATATTTATTAGCCATATGAAGAAGAAATAATTAGCCATTTTACAATTCATTTTTTTGCCATGCATCTACTGCAAGTTTTTCTTTTAAAGGACATATAATGGCAAGTATTAACTTTGTACATGCAATTCTGGTGCCTTCTAATGGAAAGACAAAACATAATATCTGGAAAGACTAATTTATTTGAAGTTAAATTATTAAATTATTATTAAACTAAGTTAATTTATTTGAAGTTAACTCCTCTTGAACATCCTGTTTGTTACCTGGCCAAAATGCCCCTCCCTCTGAGCCCATCCAATTAGCAGAGCCCTGGTGTTATTCTAGGTAAGTCAGCGTGTGGAAGCTGTCACACAGTGTGAGACCTCCATGGTTCACACTCAGACAGCTCTCTAAATTGTTAGCAGTCAGCAAACTTTCTTGTTGATGAAGTAGAAAGATACTGACAGACACATTTTTTGGATTTTCTAAATAAGAAGTTGGGCCCAATCGCCTACTTTCATTATTAAATGATGATTATTTTTTAAGATTATGGAGATTTAACTGTGGCTTCTCAAATGACCGCAAAATCAGTATCCTCATAAACAAGGTTTAAAAACTACACAGCCTGAGTAACTAGATATTAATGCTATTTTTTCTAGGTATGAGTGACATACTTTTTTTTTGGCATCAGTGATCAAACTCGTGACCTTGCACTTGCCAGGCAGGCACTTGTGGTGCTGAGCTAAATCCCTGGCATGAGTGCTATTTTATACAACAAATTCAGACGAAAATTTTTGGGAAAAAAAGACACCCAAAGAAGTAAATGTAAATCAAGTAACTTATAAGACATTCATTCTATGCTAAATCTTCCTACGCCTATTAAACATTAACATCATAGTTAATCTTTAACTGCATACCAAAAGTCTGTCCAATTATACTTTTATACAGAACCTAAAATTCCTATAAATTATGTTTAAGGCCTATTATACACAGCAAAGAATGATATATGAAGTCAGATATATGGAAGTTCTTATTTCATATTTGACAGTTCACTTTTGTAAAATGCAGAAAAAAATCTAGGTTGAGACACTGACAAAATGTATATTTTACAGTTTTATGAATAGCTAGTTTTTAGTAAATGAATATAGTACTTCAATTAAATTTTTAACATAGAAATGTATATTGCCTACAATCCTTAATATTTAAGATAAGCATCGTCTTTTACATACAAATTATATTTTTCTACCATAACTAAAATAAACTTTAAAAATTATGGCTTACTGACATCAAATTATTTTTACATGAAAATTAAACAAAAAATTATTAAGAATGCTTGGGTAAAAAATGTAAATAAGTAGTTATGGGAGTGTACCACTGAATATGAATGATACATGTTTGTAATTTTCCCCCCAGACCTTATCTCCTCTTACTAATATTAACTGCAAATAAGAATGTTTGAGAGTAATTGCATTACCATATAGTAACACTTGCTTGAGCAATATAATAGACTTCATAATAAAAATTACTATTCATTTGAAACTAATACTTTTAGAATTAGGATATGAAAGCTCAAAGTATTTTTCATACATTTTAGTGTTTTGTAAAATATACACACCACTAAAATTTGCAAGGTAATTCCTCACTTCAACCTTCTTCCCAATCTCCCTCTTTTTCTTTCTCCCTTCCTTTGTCTCTTTCTGTCATCTACATATATACACCAAAATCTTAAAAATCATTCTATAATAGAGACGTTAAATATCAGATTGTGAATAATCTTGAGTAACATTACATGTATAACTATTGTAAATGTGAAAAAATCCCGGCAATAAAATTCTACTCTGAATTTATTGGAATTTGCATATGTGTTTCCCTGGTTGCTTATCAGGACACCCTCTCCCTATCAATGCACTGCCTTCAAATTCCATCTCGACTTTGTCTTTGAAAATATAAAGTCATAATTTTTTTCTTTAAATGAGTGGCACGTAAAAGAGGTTAAATTGAAAAGGCAGTTAAGAGAAGAAAGAGGAGGAGGAGGAGGAAGAGAAAAAGACTTGGATAAAACTGCCTCACTCTAGTCTGAGACAGCTTGGTGGTAGAGGTTGTGGGAGGAGTAATTTAGGGATCATGCAAAGCCCAGATAA